ACACACACACACACACACACACACACACACACACACACACACACACACACACACACACACACACACACACACACACACACACACACACACACACACACACACACACACACACATAAATGCAACATTATCGCGAAACCTCGTAACTTTGCAGACGATCGCTGCGCGAACGGTCCGTTGTTCCAACAAAGAAGTCCGTCGCTTATAATTTCAATGCGACCTTCTGGCAGAAATTCCGAGCGTTTGGCGCAAAACTGTCGATGGGAAAAAAAAGCGCGCGCGCGCGTATGTACACACAGACATATATTTGCAGAGTCTGCAGAGATTTCCTGCAGCCATGATTCACTACCGATGGTTTGCCGCTAAGAGAAACGCATTCTCCGAGTGCTTGCCCCGTTGAGAGGGTGGCTGCCGGTGGATAATGAATGAGGGAGGGAGGCTGCCCCTGTAGCGTGATTTTTATTCCCACTCAGATAGTGGCATTAATTTGCATAAGCGGCGCTGATTGGCTGTTGCCATGGCGCTAAACAAAGGCGCCGATTGGCTCAATTTGACACTTTTACCGTTAATTCTATAACAGTGAACTCATCATAGAAAAGCTTTGTCAATGCACAGCAAGAAATATAGCTTCAAGAAGTTTCATTACGGATTTTAATGAATAAAAACGAGAGCAATAGCACATACTGTATATAGTATGATACTGTACTATAGTACTGACTGTGGTAATGGGCTTATAAATCCTCACAACTCACCGCGCGCAAAACCGCCAGCCAATCAGCGCCGCTTATGAAAATTAATGCCACTATCTGAGTGGGGAAAAAAATAACGCGCCCCAGTAGAGAAGGGATAGCAAAAGGATGAGGACGATGATGATAATGATGATGATCAAAATACATTACGTTACGTTTCACTGCATTGCACTGCCTTACATTTATAACATTTAACTGCTTTCATTGCATTGCATTTATTACATTGCATTGCATTTATTACATTGCACTGCACTGCATTTCATTACATTATCATTGCATTGCATTTATTACATTGCGTCGCATTGCATCCGCTGCGTTGCATTTTATTGCACTGTATTGCATTCCATGGCAGTGTATAACTTGGATAATGCAACATAATGCAATACGATACATTACCGCGCGCCCCGACAACACAAACACTAAGTTAACATGGACGATAGCTGTGGACGAACCGCACGCCTCAATGGGTCTTCAAATATTTCCTATTATCCGCCTATAGTAGAGATCCAGGCAGCTGATAGAGAAAATGAGCGAGAGTTAACGTGAGAGGGGAAGGAGTATACGAGTATATCAATACCTGAAATACCTGCCTTAGAGGCTGTCATGATATATACATATATATCAGATTATCAGGGGTTAATAATAACAAATATATATATATATATATACATATATATATATATATATATATTATATATATATTTGTGTTGAGAACCGCAGAATACTATCGGCACAACGCAGAGATCAAAGGTACTATATGCTACTATTACTATATATATATCAACTTATCACTGTATATATACTTTCCATTCTTACCGAGAGATTAGAGTGGGCAACGAAACCAGACCGACAGACAGACAGACAGCACAGACGCAGACACGACAGACACGACCAATAACAGACGCGACCGGTCCAGCTCACCAACCGCGCCGACGCAGCCAAGAACCCAACCGACGAGCGAGAGAACGACGAGACAGAGCACCAGCAGAAGAGAGACGAGCCGACGAGCGAGCAAAGAGAACGACGACGAGAGACGAGAGAGAGAGCCAGAGAGAGAGAGAGAGAACGGAGCCAGGCGAGAGGGAGAGAGAGCGAACGAGAGAACACACGCGCGACACAACCAGCAGAGACGAGACCGAGAGAGAGCACGACGAGACGAGCCAGAGAACCGAGCAGAGAGCAGACCGCACCCGAGACGCAGAGAGAGTAGACGAGAGACGAAGCACGAGCCAGAAGCAGAGCGACCGAGACCCGACGAGAGAGAGCCAGAGAGCGACTGAAAGAACGAGAAACGACGAGAGCAAAGGCGGCAGCGTGCCGAGACAGCGAGAAAGAGAGAAACGAGAGAAAGAAGCAAAACGATAGGCGACCGAGAGAGAACAACCGAGAGAGACCGAGAGAGGAGAGAGAGAGAGCGAAGAGAACCGAGAGAGAGACGCCAGAGCCAGAGACCGCACGAGAGAGAGAGCCAGAGGGAGAAGAGAGAGAGAGAGCGAGGAGCAACGAGAGCAGAGCGCAGAAGCGCGAAACGCAGACGAGCACGACAGACCGAGAGACGCGACGAGAGCCGAGAGAGAACCGAGAGAGAGAGAGAGCGAGAGACCGAGAGCCGACACGAAGCGCAGAGAGACGCCGCCGGAGAGCAGAGAGAGAGCAGAAGAGACAGAAGATGAGACGAGGCACCGGCAGAGAGAACGCGCCGAGAAAAGAGCTGCCAGAAGACCGAGCACAAAGACGACGAGACAAAAGAGACACGACGCAGCAGAAGCGCGAGAGAGAGAAAAACAGACGCGAGAAAGAGACGAAAGAGAGAGGAGAGACGCAGAGAAAAGAGAGAGCGACGAGAGAGCAGAGCAGAGAACAAGAGAGACGACGCAGAGAGAGAAAAAAGAGCAGACCAGACAAGAGATTCTATGAGCCATCAATAAAGAAACGCCTTCAACTCTCTCTGCAACCGACCGTTGCAAGGACATAACCAGACAGTCATCACCTTAGCAACAGCCGCCGCCGCACGCCAGCCATAACAGCAGGCACCAGCACGCAGCACACCAACAGCCAACAGCAACAGAGCCAGCAGCCAGCAGCCGCCCCCGATGCGCCTATCGATTTTATACTCAAACTGCGCTGTTTCACAAAAACCAACAGAACCGGAGAAAAGAACCAAAAAATCGGCAGCTAAAAAATCTTAACAAACCGAAACCGGACCACGACGATTGCGAGCAGCAGCCTTCTTTCGTAGCGATGGCATAATTTATTAAAACGCGTTCGTACCGTCTTCATTCATTCTCCTTACCGCCGGAGTAGCTCCGCACCTACTGCGATGAACAGTCGACCCGATGACCAACAATATCGACTCATTCGTCTAGCCGCACGCCAACCGGCCCGCTGCAGTCATACGCTGGCGTCTCTCTCTCTCTCATCTCTCTCCTCTCATGCTCTCCTCTCTTTCCTCTGTCCCCCATCTTCGCTTCTCTTTCTCTCCTTGCCTCTCTCTCCCTCTCCCTCTCCCTCGTTTTTTCTCTTCTCTCTCTCATCCCTCTCTCTCTCTCTCTCTCTCTCCCCATGTCTCTCTCTCCTCTCTCCGTTCCTAGCTCTATCCTCTTCATCGATTCCTCCTCGCATCGTCCGCCTCTCTCACTCTCTATCCCCGTTCGCGCACGTGCTCTCTCTCACTCTCCTCTTCTCTCTCTCTCTCGCCTCTCCCACTATCTCTTCCCTTCTCTCTCTTCCTCTCTCACTCAATTTCTCCTCCCATCTCTCTTCTTTCTCTATCTCTCTATCTCTGTCTCCCCTTTAGATCCGCTCCCCTCTCCCACTGTCACTCTCTTTACTTCTATCTTCGTCATTCGGCGTCATCTGCTCTATCTTCTCCCACTCTGCTTTCGTCCATTCGCTCCTCCCTCCTTCTCCGCTCCTCTCTCTATCCTCTCTCCTCCGTCCTCTATTACTCTCTCTCTCTCTCTCTCCTTTGAAACCAGCTGTTACAGTAAAGCGACCGCCGGTGAATTCTTTCCTCCGCAAAGAAATCGATGAAAACACATTGAAATTCTCGGAAGGCCACTAAAGCGGCGCGCCCAATGAAAACCGCACAGACAGACGTACAGTCTGAGATGGAACGGGGAGGGGTGTGTCTGATATAAGATATATATATATGTATATATATATATACATATCAGGAGGTTAAATAATGATAAATTGTCATTATTCAAAATTCATCATATAAAAGTGTTCATTGTTAACCATAGTTAACTAGCTCAAATAGTTCATAGCTAATCATTGTTAATGTAATGTAACATCATCACGTTATAATTATTATTGTCATTATAAAGTGAAAATTTATCATTATTAACCGCTGATATAATATATATATATATAATATGTATATATACATACATATATATTATAGTATATATGTACTATATACGAAGAATATAGTAGAAGAACTATGCAATCGAGAACACACAAGAGTTTCTTTGCTCTTGTTGCTATATGTCCGATAGCATACACTCGCATTCGCATGCACAGCATGCACAGAAATAAGCGCCAAAGAACCCATATACTGATATAGTTCCTGTGCTGGCGATAGCATGTGGGGGGGGGGGGCTACAAGGCATGCAGCGAGAGTAGAAACGCATAAGCAAGTCCACTAGCACGCATAAATTTGCATGCACGCGCCCACCACACATAGCGTGCGAACTATGTAAACAGTAGCAGGAGTAAACACGTATACAGAGTATACAGTAATCCGTCTATCATACATTTATTGTATAATAAATAGTTTTGTCCACGACGACGTTGACGATGACGATGACGATGACGATGACGATGACGATGACGATGACGATGACGATGACGATGACGATGACGATGACGGTGACGATGACGAGGTGGAGAGCGTTCGTTCGGATCCCCGCCTCGCAACGTTTTGCATTCACGAGGCGTCTGTGTCTGTTTTCAGGGTGACTCCTTCGTACGCGCCCGCGCGCTCACGTACGCACGCGCGCGCTTGCAGATTTTTAAAATGCTGTACCTAATAGTTTATCAGACAAAAACGTCCGCATGAAAGTACACCGTTTTTCAGCGCTCCATCCTGTGTACACGGTCATGCATAACATGCGCTATATATACACACATTATGCGCGTGCGTTTGTTCGTGTGCGTGCGCGTGTGCGTGCATGGTGGTGTCTGTGAGTGCATGTGTGTGTGTGTGTGTGTGTGTGTGTGTGTGTGTGTGTGTGTGTGTGTGTGTGTGTGTGTGTGTGTGTGTGTGTGTGTG